TTGGATTACAAACCCTAACATTCTAATATTAATTCCAGCAAGTGAAGTGCAAGAATCCAAATTATTGAAGTCCACCTTATCACAACCCGCACACCCGATTACCTAAATATACATGAACTTACGGTTAAAGCTCAACAGCTGGACTCTGTAGCTCAGTTGATTAGAGCGCTGCACCGGAATCGCAGGGCCGTAGGTTCAATTCCTACCAGAGGACCTTGTGCTGCATTTTTCGCAGTCGTTCCTGGTTAGGTCTTAAAATGTATATAATTCTCACTTGGATTACAAACCGTAACATTCTAACATTTGAAATTAAGGATTTGGAGGTTTTGCGATCACTGATAACTTGATAATAATATAAAACAAAACACTTCTATCTGCAACTTTTACTATCACTGATAACTTGATAATAATTTAAACCAGTCAAGTTGTAGTTTAAATAGAGAATAATACATGGGTGCACGAAATACCAGATTTATTTCGAGTGTTGAACATGAGTGCGGAGCGAACAAGTGAGCGCATCGAACGAGTGAGATGTCATGTTCAACACGAAAAATAAATCTGGTATTTCCAACCACCCATGTATTTTTCTGTTTATTATATAAAGGACAGTCTTTGAAAAGCGATAATTTTTACAGAAAAGCGATAATTGAAAAGGCGATAATTTTCACATGTGAGATTATCATGAATAATTTCACATGTGAGATTATCATTTTTATCAGTGCTCGAAATCTCTTTAAAATACTCATTAATAATTCATAAACCTTGTGGCAAACATGTCAGCAATAATATGTCACGTGGAGTGACTTTATATCTGATAAAACACATGTGGCATTATATAATTGTTCATCTTAATTAGCATGATTATACTATGGTTCATCCTAATTAGTAGTCTTTTGTAGTCGTATTTTAAGCTATTCAAAATACTCGTTGTCGTGTTTTATCAGATATATAACGCTCGGCTGCACTCCTACTCGTGTTTTAAATAGTACATAAAACACTATACTTTATATGATAAAAATTCATAAATTTGAACCACGCTAGACCATGACAACAGCAAAATGCTCTATAGTATGATGCACAAAATTTTGGGAGATGAAATACACGAACAATAAATCAGAGAGTGTTTGCGTGAATGCGTGAAACTCACTGGTGGGGGGGGGGGGGGGTGCAACACCCCTGATAATTGCTCATGAGGAATTTCAGGTAGATTTCCAGTGCACTTTTAGGTAAATTTAAGTAGATTTGCAGAAGATTTTCAGGGGAATTCAGGTAATTCTCAGGACATGAGAAAGTGAATTTGGAAAACAACTGTATTTTCGGAAAAATTATTATATGTCCTGAAAATTTTTTGTACATCTGGAAACATTTTGGTAACCACCCCCCCCCTCTATCTAACCTCACACACCCCCTGAGACGAAGTGCTAGCAACGGCACTGAGTATACATCTTTTGAAAACAGGCGAGGGGTTATTGCATGCATGTATTTCTAGTATATATATACATAGTATATGTCACCTCGAACGTTTTGTTTTGTATCAGAAACTCATGACAAGTTTTCGACATCGTGTTATACGATCTTTCTCTCCAAATTTCTGCAGACATTCCACTGCTTCAATGATCATATCTTTACGTTCTGCATTGCTCGAGTATAATGACGTAGGCAGATGACTGCTGGCCATGACTAGTGCATTTGCTCGGTCTTTCTCTGCTGAAACACTGCATTCTGGGACAGCTTCTAAGAAAATTGTACATAATTAATTATCCGTGCGTCGTCTATAATATTCAAATGATATAAAGTCGAACATTTTCTTCGAAGTATTAAAATTTATATTAGTCTCTTTCGCAGCCATGCAAGGTTAGGGTTTTTTCTAACACCTATTAAACTCCTATAGAGATGTCTTCGGAGGCATCTGTTCATAATGTTCATCGTCAGCGGTGAATTAGGTTTACGCGGGAACCATATATTGTTATGATGCGAGTAACTACGTTAGCGGAGTTTATTAGCTTCTGGCCAATCGATACCCTTTGTGTGCCAGAGGTTCTTCCACGCTCGTAAACAATGCTCGTGTTCGTAAAGGGGGATAATAGAGGATAGACGGGGATAATTGTCTATCCTCTATTATCCCATTTACGAACTCGAGCGTTGTTTGCAAGCGCGGAAGAACCTCTGGTACACAGCTATCGTCGATTGGCTATCCTATCGTGTAACTACAGTGACTATTTCAAGAGAGTTCACTCTTATTATTTCAAGCGCGAGCATTGTAAATTTGGCATGTGTTCGCACTTTCACGATGGAAATTATACATCAAAGCAACAGCATTTCATGTATAATTATCTATTATTTTGAATACGGCGAATGTTGAGGGGTATTTTTAGTAAGTAATGGAAACATTTTGATAACTTTTGATACAAATAATGACCAGCTATATCATCTCATTTGAATCGAGAAGCAAAGGTAACCACCTTTTAAATGCTGCATGTGTAATACCCCTTGCATTATTCATGCTTTGATTTAGATGCAGTTCACTGATAAAGTGTTAAAATCATGCCGTTTGTATTCGCAACACTATTTGGTTGATAAGAGTAGTACATGGTACCTTAATTCGATATTTGATTGTTATGGGTGACGCACAGCTCAGCAGACTATAGATAAACTGATAGTCTTTTTAACGAATTCTGGTTTAAATTATTCAAAAGATATGCGCGGTGTTTCAATTTCAGAACCATCCTCAGAGATAAGAAACACTAGTTTAATATGCATTCTGACACTGCAGATTCAGATTATTCAGAGAACAGTACCAGTAAATAAATAGCGCCAAACAAGGATTAGCTGGTGCGTACTTACCTTTTTCTTCGTTAGCAGATCGTTGTCGCATAACACTTTTCTGTAATAATCTTTGTGTTTTCACGGGGTTAGCTTCTGCCATCATCCTGCATGCCGCTTGGTACATGTACACCTGAAATACAAATAAATTTTCACCATTCAGCACAAAACTTTGCATATTTCAAGATGTTCGGATAAGTCGAAGATGCATGACCGGCTCGGGTGTTTCAACATATTTCACTTACAGAAAACCCTTGACATTAATTCTCGTCAAGCTTAAAGAAAACATTTAATCTAAAGAACCTAAAGTGTTTACATTGTTCAGTTCTGCAGGTTGTTGCATAACAACTTATATCTAGTGATTGATCGATTGTGCAACAATCGGAAATTACCGATTATTCATGCCACAAACTACCCGATTCCGATTTTATAATGACGTCATAATATCAGTCCATCGAGTAAAGGTGACGTCTTCATGTCGATTTTTTAACAATAATTGTCATATAACATGTTAATGCAACCAAAGATCGTTGAAACCGTTAATGAATGGCACGCTTCACGCATTATAATTTAACATATTGCGTTAGAACGTAACGTCATGAATGCATATAATTTTTTAAGATGCGTATTTTCTCAACAATCGGTTTTACACAATCGGAAATATAGACAATTTTACCGATTCCGATTGTCTACCGATAAGGAAAAAATCGGCCCGATACCGATTATCGGTCATTACTTACATCAGTGTAATATTTCACTGACACGGAGTAAAATATATAGAAAATAATACATGGGTGCGCGGAAATACCAGATTTATTTCGAGTGTTGAACATGATATCTCACGAGTGAGCGCATATAAAGGACAGTCTTTGAAAAGCGATAATTTCTACAGAAAAGCGATCAATGAAATGCGATAATTTTCATCTCACATGTGAGATTATCACTTTTATCAGTGCTCGAAGTCTCTATAAAGCACTATACTTTATATAATATAAATGTATAAACGTTAATACAAGTACGAGCAGTTAGGTTGTCTTACAAACCTTGGACATAGCATCTGGAATATAGGAAGCGACGTTTTGTAAACTTCTCAAATCTTTATCGAAACCATCCAGTCTGCTGGCTTCAGGAGAGTGCTGTTCACCATCCAGTTTTTCTTTCTCCCAAACATCAGCACGAGTTGAGAGAAGCCAATCACAGCAAAGCAAGTGCATTAACTTAAAAAAAAACACAGAGTAAATCTGTGTTACACCCGGTCAAACGAGAATGGGAGTTGATGAGAGTTGGCAGTCATGCACGAATTGTTGTATACTGGAAGCATTTCAAGCTCTGGATTAACAAAATAGAGGTTTGATGAGTGTCTCAACTACGTTTTAAGTTTAACTTATAATAAGTAAAATACATGATAGTGCTGGGGAAGAATTAGGAACAGCTAACCATGATCGCGTGACATCCAACTCTCATACATCCTCATCCTTGTTTGATCCTTGGTTTACACATATATTTCAAACGCTATAAAAACCCTGCTCAATTCTTTGATGGCAAATATTTATACTTTCATTGCGACCTCTTCAGTTTCTTATCTGCAGTTCAATACTTCTTATAGCTTTCCATATGTCGAATATGATATGTAATTACCTTGAGTAAATCACTTTGCTTTTGAGGAGATGAGAATGCCAGACTTTCTTTCAAAAGAGCTCCACCTTTGTCACAGTACTCAAGGATTTCATGAGCATTATCAAGATTTTTTCCATTTTTCTCCAACATACGTGATCGTGCACGAAATGCCATCAGCAAGGCTTGGCCAAGTGGGTCACTACATTGCGAATAGAAAGGGATTCATTATTCAATATATTCACGGGCGACTTTAATTTCCGGGCGGGAAAGTGTTCTTATGATGAAAATAAGAGCTCAACATAATACTTTAAAGAGAACCATACACACAAATATTGACATTGATATTTGTGTGTATGGCTCTATTCAAGGTATTACGCTAGGCTCTTATTTTCGTCATAAGAAAAAGGAGTGTTTTATAATTACTACAATTCACAATTACTGGGAAAGTGGGCGACCCTACACGACAGAGACCACAGGCCGGACCTTTGAAATCTAGCCGTGCATCTAAAGGCACATACGATACTGAACAAATGGAAGCTTAGTCATTAGATACAATTGGTTGTACATTATAGTTACAGACGCCCAGTTTAAAAGAGAGAAAAAAGGAAAACAGATTGACCTACATATACTGCACATTCTTGAATAATTAGTAAAGACAACCAGCTGGGTTTGAAAAAGCTACTAGTGAGGTTTAGATTCGACTACCACTACCATTAAGGGACCATTAACCAATGAGGTAAGTTTAATAAACGAGCAGGAGTGTTTTATTAGGTTTAAAAAACTGCGAGTTTATTAAACGGCTTCAAACACGACTACAAATTCAATAGATATACTGCCTTATTAGTATTCTTTATATAAAGAATACTGAGGACACGACTGCAATAGATACTGCCTTATTAGTATTCTTTATATAAAAAATACTAATTAGGAGTGTTATATCAGTTTTAAAGCCACTGCACGTGACATATTATGGTTGACATGATTTGCCAATATACAGCTTATGAATTATTAATGATGTTTGAAATAAGGTTAATCTTCCCGATTAACCAATCGTTAATCTACCCGATTAACCAATCACATGCATGCGCACTTATAGTCTTAGTTAGTAAAAGGCAGCGATAACAGTAGTGGTATAGTGGAAGTCAAATCTAAACCTTACTACTTTGATAAACTTTTCGATCGTGACTATACGCTATATACATCAGAATCATTCACTACCAAAAGACATATACTTACTCATTATTTTCAATTTCATCCGGGATATTTTCAATGATCTTGTATTGTTGTTGAGCACTGTGAACATCTCCTAACAACCAACATGCGGCCACCTTACCCAACGCTGCCCACCAACATCCCACCAAATCAGGTTCTTCAGACGGCCATGTTGTTATATCACCAAACACTTTCAAGTTTCTAAATTGATAATAAAACAAAAAAAACCCATTTACTATTGAAACTAAAATTATTGAGCTACTGCATGTATCAACAACAGTTGGTTTCAATTAGGGATATAATAATTCTTGTTGCAAACGCGAAGACCAAACCGCTACAAAATCCAACACATTTAGGTTTTGGTTACAAGGTACCGGAATGAATATTCCAATCATATAACTAAATCGCGATTTTCTTGCATGGGCCTGGAGGCAACAATGAGTTTTGAACGAATATTTAATTGTTAATTGTTAGAAGCCTAGCTTACAAGATAAACGTTTTTCAAAAGAACAGACATCAAGTATACAGAATTATTTCCTGCACAAAATTACATGGTTTCAAGCTGAAGTATGGGAAATAAAGTTGATACGTCTTTTCGCGGTTATTCAGAAACTTCACAGAATCAACACATATCAACAACAATTAATCCAAACGAAAACACCGTGGAACGTTAAAATTATATAAGATAAACGTTGCTTGGTCGCAGGGTAACCGAACTCTTCTTTCTTTAACAATCGTTACTGTTGCTTGAAATCGTTACTCTTTTGTGAAAGTAAAAATATAACAAAGCTGGACGCATCGGATTTGACCAGTTATACGGTGACCAGGACATGCCGGATCAACCATCATATACACGCGTAAAAATCCATCATAAACACGCGTAGCAAGTCTGCCAACAACCCGTCAACAAGTTGTCTTCGCACTGCTTGTCCCAAGTTGTCAACAAGTTTGGAACAAGCTGTTAACAACTTGTAACAACCTTGTTGAACAAGTCCGATACAGTCATGACATAACAATATTGTTACAACCTTGTGTCATCAACCTTGTAACATTCTTGTTATATCATGACTGTATCAGACTTGTTAGAACCTTGTAATAAGTCTGATAATGCCATCAAGCTTGTTACAAGTTGTTAACAGCTTGTTCCAAACTTGTTACAACAATTAGGAACATTACAAGCAGTGCGAACACAACTTGTCGACAGCTTGTGAACAGATTTGTAACAACTTGTTTGCAGACTTGTAACAACTTGTGCGTTTTTACGTGTGTATATATCACTTCCAGGCAAGTATCACTTCCAAAGCCGAGTGCTTATCTGGCGGTGGCATGCACATGCCACGTGACCCGATCGCCATAGCATCGGGTAACCAAATTGCACGTCTGGTATGGAAAGTAATCCAGTATTGTGCATCTAACCAAGAAAATATAATGCTTTTTTCGGCTGGTATTTTATAATTTTCTCTTATAAGTTTATTCCAAATACTCATACCGCTTTGCAAAATGTTCAAACAGTGTCGACGAAGACGAACAATACACATTAATTTTACTACGGAAAAAGTTCATAAAAACGCCCAAGTTTTGACAAAAGTTCAATACAGTTGTTCATGCTTACCTATTAATACCAGACTTTCTCGAGTTATTCACACATTCAGTCAATGTATGTAATAAATCACGCGCACGATTACTGCCTGAATTGCCGTCAGCGTTCCATGTATTTGCAAGATACTCATTATGATCTTTTGACAACAGCAATGCTGACATTGCTTGTTCCAGCAAGAATTCACAAAATTTCTGAGTGACACTCGCCAGTGGCTTGTTATCTAGGGAGAGATAAAATATCGGACATGAAGAATTCGCCATTGTACTGCAATCACACCATTTCCCTTCATGCACAGTATTAACATAAATTATGGAACGACTATATGATTCCTAATGCTAAAATAATGTTCAGGGCCGTAGATATCGAGCTTAAGCCCTCCCTCCAATAATTTGTAAACTAGCGATAATCTGTAAAGTTTGAGAGGGAAATAATGACCTAATAATCGCCCCTGACTAATCAGCACACCCCCCTAATACAAAATTGCTTCCCATGCGGCATAGTGAATGTTTCTAAAAATGTTGGATGCTTCCTCTGAGGTGAACACGGATTAATGCATAACAGGAATTTTCATAATTGTTTTTGTTTGTGGAAACACCACGTAAATTTATTACTGCAAAGCTTTCGATCCGTAAGCCCGGATCTTCATCAGTGCTATTTTATCGCCATGCAAACATTCAAGGAATTTTCATGTTTAGACGAATTAATGAAAGGGATAGTCACACACTGACGTAGCCCCATTCGGAATCCCCTTGACCGTGAACCAAGCCTACAATTATTCATTAACCACTCCCGTGGAAGAATAATTTCCGACAAGCACCGTAACCACTTTTTAAAATGAGAGCTATCTCATCTATTTAAAACAACTATCAAAGGCCATGCACACAAAAGCAAATGTATCTCCTATAATGTGTTAGTCGGACGTGAACGAGTATTGTATGGGGTGGTGGGAAGTAAGGTTAACCTAACTGTGAAAAATCCATCAATCCTCACAGTAGTCTCAATGATCCTAAGACTGTCGGAATAACTCTACTATTACGTACAGCAGCGATATGTGAGGAAAAAACATTAGAATATAAGTCATACCGTTAATTATTGAAGTACTCCAGATATGTGCTTCTCTGCTGTTGCAGCTCCACTCTCCACTGACAAAGAAACGATGTCCAACAGGAGTAAACAACCACCAGCATGAATATGGTAGCGTCAAGCTTCGACCACTACACAATTCTCGAGCACGACTCAGGAAATAACGCTAAAATATGACAAGAAATCAGAGACTTCCTTTGGTTCTATGTGCTGGCAAGATTGTACATACACTTGAACCTCCGGACACCAACGAGGAACGTTGCGAATGTCCGTTAAGGGAGTCCACTACCAAAATTTTTTAAAGTTCTCTCTATCTTTGATAACTATGAAACTGGTGTTCGCCTGATGGAGATCAGGTTAAATAGTGAAGGAAAATAATAGTGTGTCTGTTGGGATCTTTAGTAAGTGTGTCTGGTAATTAGAAGTGTCGGTGGTATAAGTTAATATTACGGTCTGGTACTTCTTTATTTTCAGCCAAGTACCACGTACAGATACGTAGGACTCTCGCTATCCGTGCGTATAATATAACAAGCAACTTCCTAAATGCAAGATATTAAAAATCGTAAAAAAGCAGCTATATATGTAAAAATCTGACATCTTCGACATGTCTTGCCATGAAATATGATTAGACGGATGGATGAGATGGAATGCTAATTGGTGTCAGTTCTATGCGTTGGTATTATGCAATTGTGTCCGTTCTTGTCCTAACTTGTGTAAAACTTTGCTGCATGTATGTATTTTTCTTAAAGACTAAGACAGTACACCTTGAGCTTTAAGTTTTAACCTGCTCAAGTACGCGCCAATATTTTGCAGTAGTAGCGAGATATAACTACGATTATCAATTTGTAATTTGTTTTGTACCGTAATTTAATTCTCGTTTATAAGGGATCGCCGTAATTGGGGAAACCTGCGGCGAATTCCCTGGCTCTATATGTTGTATTTAAAGTGTCCCTGTCACAAAATGAGAGTTTATATTTTCGAAATCTACGATACAAAATATACGAATCACTTAAATCATTAAATCATGACACCTTGGGAATGATAGCTTGTACCTAAATTTGGTTTTACCAATTGATATAACGAATTGAAAATGTTTGGGCAGAGCCAACACTTTCTTCCGCATATTTCGCTGGAGGACGCAGGAACATAGGCCGAAATTTTCATGTATACGTCTTCCATTCATATAAGATCTCAGACACTCGAAAACGAAATAAATTCGTAACAACGATAATGAAGGACAGATGCTATATTGCTGCACACTTACTGCAAGGAATTTTAAATTCTTGGGCAGCGTTGACCTCAACTGGATAGCACAATCGATGTAAATATCAACTCGTATTTCTTCATTTAAACTGCTGTCAGCCATGTCCGCCATATTTACTGCATTGAGAGCAACAACTGTAACCAACCATTGACTGCCGGGAACGTGACCTGCAGGCGAGAAAGAAAACATGGCGTCAAATCTGAACCTCCCAAATAATTTCACAGTAGTGTATACTATTTATTCTTGCATGTTTTATATGGTGGAAAGGCCTGTAAAATCAGTATTACGTTGTCCAGTTTGTAGTCCGTAATATGTCGTGTTTTAGTGTTGGATAGATGGACTTATAGCAACTATGGGATTCTAGTTCTGTTGTCCAATCCTTCAATCATAGCGGTATATGTGTATTTTTTATGTAACATGATTGTAAAGTTAATAAATAAACTCGGAGATCTCAGGTCTAATAAATGTATAAAAATTCCACTCGAATTTCCCATCTACAAATCTCTTCAACTATTTGAGATGAACCCATGTCCCATTACGTTTCATTGCGCCCTACTTTATTATTTTACTCTGTCTAACGCTCGAAATGATAAATGAATTTGCATACGTTCAAGGAAGAATATCGCTCGAAGTTAATTCGTATAGAAGGTATTGTTGTACAAATTAACCTTGCTCTTGACTGATCATGTTATTCTTGCTATGCGTATTATAATTATGCTTTGTAGACTTCAAGTTTGTCTTCACAGGGGCTAAGATTGAGTAGTAAACTCGCTGCACCTGACGAATTCCAAGCTCAAAACCCTTTATCCTTGAAGAATTCCAAGCTCAAAACCCTTTACCCTTAAAGACAAGCTCAAAACCCTTTATCCTTGAAGAATTCCAAGCTCAAAACCCTTTACCCCTGAAGAATTCCAAGCTCAAAACCCTTTACCCTTGAAGAATTTCAAGCTCAAAACCCTTTATCCTTGAAGAATTTCAAGCTCAAAACCCTTTATCCTTGAAGAATTCCAAGCTCAAAACCCTTTACCCTTGAAGACAAGCTCAAAACCCTTTATCCTTGAAGAATTCCAAGCTCAAAACCCTTTACCCTTGAAGACAAGCTCAAAACCCTTTACCCTTGAAGAATTCCAAGCTCAAAACCCTTTATCCTTGAAGAATTCCAAGCTCAAAACCCTTTACCCCTGAAGACAAGCTCAAAACCCTTTACCCTTGAAGAATTTCAAGCTCAAAACCCTTTACACTTGAAGAATTCCAAGCTCAAAACCCTTTATCCTTGAAGAATTCCAAGCTCAAAACCCTTTACCCTTGAAGACAAGCTCAAAACCCTTTACCCTTGAAGAATTCCAAGCTCAAAACCCTTTACCCTTGAAGAATTCAAGCTCAAAACCCTTTATCCTTGAAGAATTCCAAGCTCAAAACCCTTTACCCTTGAAGACAAGCTCAAAACCCTTTACCCTTGAAGAATTCCAAGCTCAAAACCCTTTACCCTTGAAGAATTCCAAGCTCAAAACCCTTTACCCTTGAAGAATTCCAAGCTCAAAACCCTTTACCCCTGAAGACAAGCTCAAAACCCTTTACCCTTGAAGAATTTCAAGCTCAAAACCCTTTACCCTTGAAGAATTACAAGCTCAAAACCCTTTATCCTTGAAGAATTCCAAGCTCAAAACCCTTTACCCTTGAAGACAAGCTCAAAACCCTTTACCCTTGAAGAATTCCAAGCTCAAAACCCTTAAGAATTCCAAACTCAAAACCCTTTACCCCTGAAGAATTCCAAGCTCAAAACCCTTTACCCCTGAAGACAAGCTCAAAACCCTTTACCCTTGAAGAATTTCCAGCTCAAAACCCTTTATCCTTGAAGAATTCCAAGCTCAAAACCCTTTACCCTTAAGACAAGCTCAAAACCCTTTACCCTTGAAGAATTCCAAGCTCAAAACCCTTAAGAATTCCAAGCTCAAAACCCTTTACCACTGAAGAATTCCAAGCTCAAAACCCTTTACCCCTTGAAGAATTCCAGGGATCCTCGATAGGGGGGGGGGGGGACGGATATAAAATGCAATAGCCCATTTCCATCTTACAGTTATAACGATGTGGCAATATAAGATGCGAGTTGTTTATACTTATACGGTATTGAGTTATTTTAATAAAATGTGTAAGCTAATTTATAACAAAACTATATCATGACCACAGGCGCTTTTTGGCGTCTACTGGAACAGTAGTCTCCATATGCTGTCGACAAGAGGTTTAGAAAGAGGTTTGGAACGTTATATCGTTGTAAAGAGTGGACGGTTCACTTCTCCTGCGAACAGGCTCTTTGGTTAGATTAAAGCCCGCGCATGCACGAAAGTTTCCGAACTGTTTACGATAAATGGTTTTATCAATGCCGTCCGGCCGTGAGATTTCCAACGTAATTATAAAGAACTCCGCGAGTATTTGCAGTAGAAATACAAAAATATCACCAAAAAATTCCGCTTGAAAGACACTATAAACTCGAACAATGTAAAATAGCCATAAAATATAAACTAGCCATACTATACCTATATGTATATACAATACACTCGAACAATAGGGCCATTTATACGGGACAAAATAAGACGCGACTTACATAAGACGCGACTTAAATAAGACGCGAGTTTGTCGTATAAAAGGTAAAAAATTCTTATGTAAGACGCGTCTTGGATAAGACGCGTCTTACATAAGAACAGGACTTTTAGCTGTTCTTATTTAAGTCGCGTCTTAAATAAGAAATTTTAGACAAAAATTCTAACTATACATGCCCGAAACTTGAAACAACGTAAAATTATTAGCCTTGCATATTCGAACAAAAACAACCGAAACAACATTATAGCTATAGCAAGTAAATAAGAATAAATCCGTAGAGAACCATTTATGCGATAACTCAGCTTATATAAGACGCGTCTTATGTAAGACGCGACTTATTTTGTCCCGTATAAATGGCCCTAATGTAAACAATGTACGACAATGTATCACTAAGCCATACATTTCGCCGAATATAAGTTTGGCACCTTTCAGCCTATCATTTTCGTGATATTCTTGTTCGAATCACAATCCAAGACACTATTTAGAGTGTTATTTTCAAGTTTATATCTACAGATTTGGAACTTTTATTTCGGTATTTCAGAATATATCTAAATTTTTCACGAGAGTTTCGACCGGAAATACAGCTTGACCACCTTGACATATTGAAACAATGCGATGTTTACTTCCTGGCACTCGGGAAACGTCGGAAATCGATTCTATGGCTACGATGTTCATTATTGGCCAATTTTAGCGCGTGCGAGTAATAACCAGATATTCCGAAAAATTCAAAATAAACATTTCTAGTCCGCCGCATTCAAACGAAACTTTCTACATGAAAGCACTTGAATACAAGGAGTATTTCAGTTCTATTGACTTAGTCTGAAGAGTCAGTTTGAAGGTATTCAATTTTTTCTTCATATGAAGTACAGAATGTTTGGCCAAGCGGTGAGTAAATATACGATTGTATTTTGGTTTGTGTAATGTTATGACGTCATTTGACCCACCATTCGAAAGGTTGTTTTATGAGGATTTCAACGGTGGTTTTTGTTTTAATGGGCGGGCAAATACTTGCCGAGATATTTTAATCTTCCCTACTCGAAAGTCGGAGATGTCAATATAAACCGGACGTCATTGACATTCTTTGTTTTTGATACAGTAGACGCCATGTACGCTACAGCGTACCTATTTTTTATATACTGTATCACTCTGTCTCTTTGTTAGATAGTATAAGCACAAAAACAAGGTTAAAATTGACTGCATCTTTGACTTTGATCAACCCTTTCTATACACGACATTGTACTGCGACTCCTCCGAAACTGCCATATTAAAATTGGAGCAGTGCAGAGCACGTGTGTTGTTTCATTTGATTTTGTTGCATGGAGGGCAAGAAAGTCGTTACACATATTGGACATTCATATCTTAAAATTGATATCTATTTTATCATTGTTTCTCTAAATGTTAGATAATATATGTAAGACAGAAGAACATATGTCGTTGTGAATAAAAATATAAAATTGAATTTGAAATTTTTTAATATTTATGCTGGCCGAACGTTGCAAATCTACAGAACATAATTTGCAAGCGCTCCCCCCGGATTGTTTACACTATACATCCATCCATCGATTGTTGAGTCACGTAATGATGTAATGCCTTGCACCCCCATAACAATAGTACAAACTTGACTTCGTCAACTTTGCACTAAAAACTGAGTTTCAGTATGTATGTATATCTTATTATAATGATATAATAAGATATTTCAATTTCATGTTACACGAGGCAATTTTTTGCTGCAACTTGCAACACAATTTCGGATACAGAGCCATGTTAACTAAAAAGTATTCGCAAGGAAATAGACCTTTCCCCTTATGAGTGAAATTTTGATCTGGATATGCCTGGACAAAAATGTCATCACAGCTTGAAAGAGCATCACAAAATTAGTAATATTCCGAAGTTTCGTTGCGAAATGTTGTAAAATGCGGATAATATAGCCTTGCGAAGTTTGCCGTTTTTCAGTCATTTTGCATTACAAACGGAAAATTGATAATCAGATGATCAAACTGATTATCAATTTCCCATTTGTAATACAAAATGACTGAAAAACGGCAAACTTCGCATTTAACAACATTTCGCAACGAAACTTCGGAATATTACTAATTTTGTGATGCTCTTTCAAGCTGTGATGAAATCTTTGTCCAGATCGAAATTTCACTCAAAAGGGGAAAGGTCTATTGTCAGCAAGGCCTACGTTCTACTCTGGCTCTGCTGACACTTTTACATAACTTTCTCTTAGCGATGAAATACTAAATAAATGGGATGAAAAATGTCGGTAGAATAACTGTGGATCATGCTCACAATTTCCCTGCGAAAGCTTTTTAGATACCATTGCTCTATGTCAGAAACTGCTTTACAAGTTGCAGCAAAAATTGCCTCGTGTTTACCAAACAAAAGTATCGAAGTATCCATTACTTTCACATTACTATAATCGTTAGAATTATAATATTATAGTAAATATAATAGCATTATGTCGAGTTGTACAAAACATATTCAAAAATTCCGATCAAATTTCACTTTATCCTTCTTTGGTCTGACATTTTTTCGCAATTCAGGCTCTGTGTTTGCACGTTGGTGTTTCATAATAAATTCAACAACTTTAGTTATTAAACCTTTTCGAGTTCTCTGTATAAAGCTCGTGTATATGGTGAATAAGGTCGTTTTCTTACGAAAAATTTAGAGCACATACTGTAATAAGGATTTTCAAAGAAATTCAGTATACCTGTGAGATACAGCTGGTGTAGTTGATGATGAACTAAAGCCGCCTGCTTGGCAGATTCTTGACGATATTCCAAATCTTTTTCATGAACAGTTCGTAATGAACACCATTGTGCAGCTTTAGCAGTCAACCATCTTGTAACTAACAAGCGGTGAACGACCTGTCTGAATATATGCCACAGCAGACTACATGTCATATCCAGCCGAGATGTAGGGAGTGGTCGGCCCAAGATCTCCAGACATCTACCAAGTACTTTACTGCCCTCAATATAGTCTCCCTGTATGAAAAATTAGAGATGAATCATTAAGTTCTCAGAAACAGTGGCTGACATTTCAAAGTCAGAGTAGCAAGGATTAATACAAGCATTTTAGTCTGCTACCACTTTTTTTGGAAGATAATATAGAGTTTTAGAAGGAGACCGCTCATCCACCAAAATCCCTCACCCCCGGAAAATTCTTGATTTTGTCCCAATGAAATAACATTTCCGGCATTCAGACAGCACTTTTGGGCAAAAATATATATAACCAGTTTAAAACAGGTTTTTAATGGCCTGTTAAAAAAACAACGATCAAGTACTTTCCTCATTTAACAATTCACATTTGTTACAATTTCTTCAAAGCAAATTGTGAAAAACTAACTACGGTGAAAGGTTAAGTTCAATAACTCCATTGAAGAAAAAATTGAAGATTGAGTTTTCACTACTGTATATCGGTGGTAGGAAAGTGCTTGTATATATTAATCCCCATTATTATACATTTAATATGTATTCTCGTTTCTAATTGGTCAGAAAGCACCGGCTAATTTTGAGTATTCGGCATTTATTACGTATTTTCCGCCAATGACGTCATCAGCGTCCAATAATTGTTTTTTTGGATCGAACTTGCATCCAAAAAAAAAATTATTGGACTCTCTCGTGCCCAAACCCTTGCGCGGCCAAAAGCTTGAACCTAAAGCGCGGGAAAAAAACCCAAACAATGGCCGACAGCAGATTTGCTTCGCTGAATGAAAGTGAACTCTCCAAATTATTGGCAGATAAGGATAGTGAAAGCACGAAAAAAGCCACAAATGGGTAAATAGAAGTAGAAATATAATATTTAGCTGACCTTTGACTTTGTGCAAGGTGTTTGATATTCAAATTGTACTTTTCCTACCTCATGAACAGGAATCGTTTTATACGTTTCTCATGTCTTTAAATGTATAATAAAACAATTATTGGATTCTGCTTTCGCATGATATCAAGAATTATTCAGACCTCGGTCTATGTTATCCGCCTCAGCTTCGCTTCGGCAGATAACATTGACCTCGGTCTGAATAATTCTTGATATCATGCTCAGCCTTATCCAATAATTGCTTATTGTATGAATTTAGATTGCCAACATTCCCGGACCCATCAATGGACCTATTCCCTAATGAACAAAATTTTGATCTAGACAGGTCTAGGCAACAATTTCATCACAGCTCGAAAGAGCATCACAAAATTAGTAATATTCCGAAGTTTCGTTGCGAAATGTTGTAAAATGCGGATAATATAGCCCTGCGAAGTTTGCCGTTTTTCAGTCATTTTGTATTACGCACAGGAAATTGATACCGCTTTCTGAAAAAAGGTAAATACTCAGCAATACTCGTGACATGATGATAAGCGATATTGCCAGATCATGCTGGATTCATCCCTGATGTGACCATGACGACAACAGCAGAAGACATATAGAAACCCCGTCACTTATGCATAAATTGGTTTGGAAATAACAATCCCGATACATTTAATGGGAAAATATCTATAAGCATTGAGCACGAAGGACACTAGGCAAAAAGTATTATAAAATAACATGTATATAACACGTGCTCTGATTGGTTGAAACCCGTGTTTGGATCAGGCCATCCAAACACGGAAGACTATCGTGTTGTTATTTTATAAAACAATTACTTTATGGTTTCCGTGTTTGGATGGCCTGATCCAAACACTTGGGAATGTTTGCTCGAGTTAAGAAAAGCGCGCAAAATCGCGCCATCCAAACACGGAAACCATAAAGTAATTGTATATGCCAAGGACTATAGGCACAACTCTGACTATGCCTTGGTTACCTTCGGTTTTTATATGTATGTATGCAGTAATAGGGTGTTCGACATTCAAGGCAAATCTAGGTCATGTATATGGATTATCCTCATGCTACCAGAATAAGATTATCGACTAGAATGAAACATCACAACAGGGCCTCGCTATCAATACACTGCCAATGATCATTCAACCGGCAATAGAAATACTGTCGTATTGGATATTATTTTGTAGACTTGGCAAAACAGGTACCTTTTCTAGAGTGAGATCTGCTCGTCGCTTAAACGCCCAGTACTTTGCTGCAATCTTAGAATCAGGTTGCAAGGATGGTTCACCAAATACGAACAACTTTAGAAATATAAATAATATTGCGAATGTTCTGAAGAACAGGCCAAGTACGAACGTCGTCAACAACCATTTTGACAGAGGTTGTGGCGGCGTGTTCAATGGATCTTCAGCCATTAGTAAACGTCCATGATTTACTTCTCCTTGCGGGGACGACATGGAACCTGAAAAGCAACAGAACGTTACTGTTGCATGAGAATGTTGTGATACCAGAATGTTCAAGATGAAGAAGTAACAGCAATTATTGCATGACATTGAGTAGAAACTGAAGCTGAATGGGGAGGAAGATAAATTAGAGTGTGGATTTGAAGTCTCTCGCTGGTCTTTATTATATGCACATGCGTACGCCATGCACTGTTTATAACAACTGTATTCAAGACCAGATTGTTAAAAATAAAGGCCTGATTGCAGGTTAGCGAAATCTTCGGACCAGAGCTTCTGACGTATAAAACCCCTGCCTTTAGTACCTCCTTAAATAATTATTTGAATGAGTTTGTTTTGGCCGTCGTCCTCGTTTTACCGCCCTTCACATCGTAAGGTCTCAATGATGACCAAAACCTAGCCAGTTTAAGTTAGTAAAACGCCGGACTGCGAATCAACCATGAAACGCCATATTTATACTACATTGGCGATAAAATTTAGTTACATACCTTGCTGCCATGAGAAAATGAAGTTGAAGGGATCGAAGACGAAGAAGGACATCATTAACATGCACATGCCAAGACGAGTTCGATCAAACATGTGAACATTTTCTGTATGCAAAGAATCATCAGGAGATGAAGGAGGACTAGAGTTGCTGTGAGTCTCCATTAAACTTTCAGGCGTAAGCGGATCTGCTAGAACTTCATTCGAACTCACGGAATCCGTATCATCAGCCTTCATACAGTTCAACACACCTAAGCAAAGTTAAATCGATCTTTCCAAAATACTCAAGTAATTTTTAATGTTATGCAGACTAAAAAAAACTTTCAAAAAAATACAGATCAATTACTGTGTTATTTCTACAAACATTCCGATTACTTTTCTATGAACTGCCAGAGCTTAAACGTTCTACTTCTTAGTTCTTAGTTCTTCTTCGTTCTACTTCCAAAACTATTATAATATATTGTATTTATATTCGATTCCTACCAGAGGGCCTATATAGTTGCATTTGTCGGAGCTGGGTCCTAAGGTCGTTTTCCACTAGGGGGGAATTTTTTCGCGCGGAGCGGAATTTTTCTTTGTCTTGTGATTTCTCGGGTGGAAATCATTTAAATTAGAAAAAACAAAGAGAAATTCCGCTCGACCGCTCCGCGCGGATGTTAAGGCCCATACAGACCGGACGCGATTTGGCAACGCGACGCGAGGGGTGGCTTAAGGTGGCTCCCTACAGTTATTCTTGTTTAAGCAATAATTCCGTAAAACAGGCTTATTCGTGCAAAACGCAAATTCTTTTCGACTTGGTGGCAATATTGGTCACCTAAGGAATATTTCGAACTAGATTTCGACGATGTCAATGTTCCCATGGCAACATGACGACAGCATAAAGCCTTCCAATTTAACCCATAAATGTGCCGCTATCTCAAAAACGATGTCGGTGACCTATCTTTTTTATTTCATATATCAATAAGGAATGATGCTCTGCAACTGTGGTGAAAGTTTAAAAGAATTCTGTAGTGTGTGATTTTTGTAAAAGCGAAATATTTATTGCGAAATTTCCACACTACAGATTTTTTTAAAATTTGAAATTTATAAAATTTACCGCAAAATAAATTCGTGGTCAAAATTTGAAGATAGGTCACCGATGAAACTAATGAGTAAAATACAAATAAAGTTAGAAAATAGCCTTGTGTAACTCGAGAAATTCCTCGAGAAATTCCCCTGTTGAAAAGCGTCGCTGACTAGTAAAAGATTGTACGCGGGCGCAGAACGAGTTTTCATTCAGCAAAATCGAGCCGCAATGTTGTTTCTACTGTTTTGTTTTTGTCAATTTTTCGATTTATTTGAATGCGCTATGGACAGCCAAGGATTATTGTGAAGGATTAAATCGATTGAAGGTTGAAGCTAATTGAATCCTGCCGTTTACTCAATCTATGAGCTGTAACAGCCTACTAACAGGTGGACGTGTTTTTTTTTGTTTCATGTTTGGTTTTGTACTTTTTGCTAAAAATGAACAATTAGGCTATGAAACTGAAATATTTTTCTGTTTACATATAATCACATTAATCTTGTAGAAACACGACTAAAAACGTGAACGTTTTCTTAAGAAATAAACAACTTTTTAAACGTTTGTATGCAATTTTGCAAATGTTTTACAGTTGACAATGTATATTTTAAAAACATTAAAACACATTGTTTCGTAGCTATTTTTGGTCTAGTGGTATTCGTATCATATGTAGAATTGCTGTATAGACTCGCAAGTAATTTGGCACTCAAAACGAAGTATTATTCAACGCTTTTTCCCATTAGAAACCTTTCAGAAATAGCTTTTTTTTAAAAAGAAAATGTTTTGTTTTGATCATGCGGTTGCGTGGGATAGTTCACGTACTGGTCCCGCGAAGATCCCGCACGCAACTGTAGGGAGCCTCCTTAACTTCAATATTTTTCTATGTTTTTCAAATATTCGGAAGCACTTCAAGCCGGTTTTCCACTAGGCGGAATTTTGCGCGCGGAGCGGAATTTTTCTTTGTCTTGTGATTTCTCGGGTGGAACTAATTAGAAAAGACAAAGAGAAATTCCTCTCCGCGCGCAAAATTCCGCCTAGTGGAAAACAGCCTTAAGCAATTTTAGCTATTTGGTCTGCGTATCTTGTAAAATTTTTATCCGTTGTCGGTTTTATTTGTTTTTAAAAACTTAAAATTCGCGTCGCGTAGTCGAATCGCGTTCGGTCTGTATGGGCCCTTAAAGCCGGTTTTCCATTAGACGGAATTTGCGCGCAGAGCAGAATTTTTCTTTGTCTTGTGATTTCTCGGGTGGAACAAATTAGAAAATACAAAGAAAAATTCCGCCCCGCGTGCAAACTTCCGCCTAGTGGGAAACCTGCTTAAAATTTTATATAATCGGAAGCTCGAAATTTCCATCTACAAAAGTCCTTCAAATTCTAATTATTTCACTAACCTATTTGTTGCAGCTTTATTTTGAATGAGGCATTTTCTTGTCGGAGACGATTATTAAGATTCCGTAGTTGTCGAATATGGTCAATGGCTTTTTTCAACACTCCAGATTTTTGAATCTAAATAACGAAATTTTAAATGTTGGTAGAAACAAAATGATAAATCGAAGATTGAATTAGGCGGGAGTAGCAGTGTAGGTAGTAACGTAACAGTGCTTCCACTTGCAAGGATTTTTCCCTGCAGCAAGGAAATATTGGTCCTTGCAGGGAATGAGTTTTACAAGGAAACGGCAAGGAAAAATACTAAAATTGAAGGAAATTGCAAGGACTTCTAAAACCACTTAAACCAGTAAAAATAAACTTATAATTAGAATAGGCCTAACAAAAGAGGTACAGAAGAATCTGAGAATGCCATTCCCGGCGATCTAGAGACTATAAATTTCAAAATTTGTCGTTCAGCGCCTTCTGCCATTTGACCCCTCCACAATTATCAAACACCCTACTCCCCTGCATGAATATAAACATATTTCATGAAGGGAACTCTTGATGAAAGCTTGCCCAAATTTTCAGGCATTGTAATGACCTTATGCCTATGCCATAGACCATACTCGATTTCTCGTAGGATCTATATAATGTGATACATTTGCCTCAAATTTGCCTGAACTTTTTTGATTTTTTCCACCGTTTGGGTGGCAAGGAAATTTTGTGGGAAAAAAGGAATTTTGGAGATTGTGAATGGATTTTTGAACGAGCGGTTGTGGAAGCACTGTAACGTGTGTACGCACGATATGACGTCAGAGCAAGCGCCTTTCACCTCTGAGATCCTGGGTTCGATTCTCACTATATATAGTTACATGGGCTCACAGTCTGTCAACATTTTCTCCGGGTGCTCCGGTTTCCTCCCACAGGGAAAGTTGATATAGGATGGGTTAGGATAAACATAGTTAGAAAAGTAATATCTCAACTGTTGTAAAGATAAATAGTCTTAGATACTTAGGCTATATAACGCAATACTTAAAAAAAAACCTCGATGGAGAGTGAACTAAATAATGTTATGTATGTAATGTATGTAATGTATGCTTTATCCAATCTTCCCACATTATATATGGCCTTCTGCCTACATTATTATTATA